TAGGCGTAATACCATTCGCGGTTATGTGGTGTCCCAGAAACTGTATAGAGGAGACACCGAATATGCACTTTTTGGGGTTAATGACGACTCCATATTGCTCAAATCGTTGAAATAAGATGGTGAGGTGATCAGTATGTTCTTCGGGCGACGAGCTAGCAATTAAAACGTCATCGATATATACAAATACAAAGTCCAAACCTTGTGTGACCTGATCCATGAAACGTTGGAAGGATTGTGCTGCGTTCTTTAGGCCAAATGGCATGCGGAGAAATTCAAACAAACCGAAAGGTGTGATGATGGCCGTTTTTTCGATATCCTCTTGGGCAACTGGTATTTGGTGATAGGCCCTGACCAAGTCTACTTTAGAAAAAATGGTTTTTCCGTGTAATGTCAGGGAGAAATCATGAAGATGAGGAATAGGATAACGGTCGGGAACTGTGGCATTGTTTAAATGTCGGTAATCCCCACATGGCCTCCAATCATGATCAGCTTTAGGCACCATGTGTAAGGGCGAAGACCAAGGACTATTGGAGGGTCTGATGATGCCGAGCTGCATCATGTGTTCAAATTCTGCCTTGGCTGCTGCCAATTTGTCCGGGGGTAATCTACGAGGACGAGCACGAACTGGTTGACCCGTAGTAACTATCTTGTGAGTAACTGTGTGAGGGACGTCCTCGATGTTGTACGACGGCTTAAGAATTTTAGGGAAACGGTGAAGTAGGGAGGAAAAAGGGCAATCTGCTGGTCTTTCAATACTGATATTATAGACAGAATAGCTGGAGATAATTCCATGGATCTTTAGATGGGTGTTGTTATCAATCAGTTTTTTATTGTTGACGTCAACTAACAGGTTGAAATTACTCAAGAAATCTGCTCCGAGGATGGCGTGACTGACGTCGGCTACTATGAAAATCCATGTGAAACGCCGACGTAAACCTAGATCCAGTATGAGGGATTGCTCTCCATACGTCTGTATGCTTGTGTGGTTAGCTGCCCGGAGAGACAGTTTTCCGGGTGTCCGTGTAGATCGCCTGGATAGTGAAGGAGGGATTACGCTAACTTCTGCTCCCGTGTCTACCAGGAATAAAGTGTCTGAAGTTTTATCCTTCACATAGAAGAGGCGACTTGTTTGCTTGCCAGTAACAGCTGTCGCCATCACTGTCTGGCTGAGGCGTTTCCCTGAGCCTGGTTGGCTTCGCTAAAGCTGCACGGTTTTACACATTTCAGGGCATGACGTCCAAACTTCCAGTGATACCAGCATATATTGCTATCCCGAGAAGACGTGTAAGAACGCTGTCGTGAGAAGGATCGTCGTCGTGATGGTGACCTTCTTTGTGAACTCCGTCTCCGGACTCGTCGATCAGACCTATTAGTTTCCAACTTGTCAATCCTTGCCGCTAAGTCTGCAATGGCGGCGAGTATCGGTGTGTCTGCCGTGGGTGTGGAATGACACGGTGTGGCACTATCAGATGCTACGTGACTTATGGTGTTATCGGATAAAACATCCATAATACTATCTGCCATGTCACTTAGTTGGTCTAAGTCATACGACTTTCCTGAGATGATTAAAATTTGCTGGACATTTCTAGGTAAACGTTGCAACCACATCTGTTTCAGCACTACCTCGTCTACTTTATGATGTCCGATTAACTGGCGCATGTGCCTGAGCAGCTGGGATGGTTTACGTGGGCCTAGTTCACAGCCTGTGAGCAATTGTTGGATTCTTTTCTCATCCGACAAACTGGTACGTTGTATGAGGAGGGCTTTAAGTTTATCAAATTGATGTTCCGTCGGAGGATCTTCGATGAAATCGCTGATTTCTGTCAATACTGACGGAGGGAGTTCTGCCAGCACCATACCATATTTGGCTATTTGGGACTTAATGCCCCGTGCTTCTAGCAACGGTTCAATTACCGCAAACCAAATCCTTGGTTCTGCGAAACCGTATTGGGGTAAACGAAAATCAGTGATGGCATTTATTGTGGCATTTGTCTCGCTATTAGTTGTCTGCTCGTTTGATGTACCGGACTGAGGTGATGACATTATAAATATGAGGTTATTGGTGCAAATTAGGATACAAATATAAACCACACACAAAATCACAATGAATATACAAAATAGCAAAAATAAGAATATGAATATGCCAAAATAATCCGTGTTCTTATCGGGCTCACCAATTAATTTGTAGGGGACTAATATTAGAGTTCACTAACATTCCAAATATAAAAGTAATAATCCAAGTCAGTGGAGTGTTAAATCACAATATATTACCAAAAATACAGTGACGAGTTATAGCAACAAAAAGGATTACTTGGATATAAAGTCTAAGTCCTCGGCTACAAATTAATTATATAATCCACGGGCACGTTAATTGTTTGGACTGCGTCTGCTGTAGCTGCTGTGTTCCGGTTGTAGAAATGTCTTCGGTTGAGAGTAGTAGGCTCCTACAATAAATCCGAAGTATACAACACGGTGTGAGTTGAGCAAGTAAGCAGAAGTGACCAGGGAGAAGACGAAGTCTCCAACAGCAGAGTGTATTTTTCAATTGTACACGGAAGTTATGTATATTTCAACAAGAAGCGTTTTAAACAAAAATTATGTACAATATCTCGAATTTATACAAATAACCAAAAAGTGTACAATCACATTGTTACGTACTCCACATACCTTTCTATCTCAATAGCAGTCATCAAGAACATTATTCGACATGCACAATGCGTCGAAGCATTCAACAAAAAAGGCGATTTCTCGAGATGAAACATTTGCATGAAACGTTCCAAGATTATTTATTAACATAGCGACGCCAAAGTGTAATATTTATTTGTAACAGTAGTACTTCGCAATGACCGATTTACAGTAATTCAACCAAAAACAGACAGAGGGATGAATTCAGGAATTTCTATCTGGCGAAATTATAATTCAAATCATATAAGAAATATATTAAAAGAAATATATTAAACACAGAGACAGAAATTGTCAATCAGCACACCTACACAGTAAATACAGTGTGAGATGACAAGCTAGCTAATACACAGTCGAAACGACAATCCTACACAAGGGTCTATAACACAATAAGAAAAGTCATTGTTTCAGACTTATTAACACTATACACTAGATGCTAAATCAACTAGCTCATCTTATATTGATTCAAGCGTCATTAGTGACGTGATAAAACATTTTTATTGATTTAAAGTCACTCGTCAAATAGCTTATATCAAGAGTTGGGAATGTGATATGTGAATACGTAATACGTTATTTGGCTAGATAACAAAACATTTTTGTGAATGTATAGTCAACTGTTTATTTTATTAGTGGTGTTGACGAAACATTCCATCCTTTAATATAAGTGATATGTTTGTAAATCGATCCAGTCGCCTTTGATTGGGAAACAGTGTGATGGTTTTCGGATTGACTTATGTAGCTGTGATGATTGTCTGTCTTTTTACCTATAGTAGTTATATATATATATATATATATATATATATATATATATATATATCGGTTGCTTTTATTTGACGTTTTACGCAAAGGTTTTTTTTCTCTAGCGGGTTAGCTTATCTTGTGTGCTTTTATTGCCTTTGTGTATGAAGAATTTGGAAAGCACTTCTCATGTGCAACTTTACGTTATATTTGTTTTCTAGAAAACTATGAAAGTTTGTGGGATAAACTATCAACTCCGCAGAATACAGATATACCTATATATTTATATAGATGTTTTTAACCTGTGCCTTTGCTTTTCTCTGTCTGATTTAGCTTAATAATAGGTGAAAAGTTTTTAAATGGACATTTGCTTCATTCCTGGAGCGCAAACTCAAACATGTAAACTTAAAAAAATACATCACAACTGAAAACTTGAAGTGTATTAATTACCTTGTAATAATATCGATATACTTTAATAAATGAAAGGACACTGAAAAACGTATACTTTCTGAATCCCTTATGGCTTCCTGTTTTAGTGAAGCAGAAATGCTTACAGCATTCAGAAGTGCCGACAAAAATAAATCTGGCCTGATCGATATATGTGAGTTTCAGGACTTCTTAAAATGTCGAAAGAATGTTGTTCCTATGGCAGTCTGTTCCAAATGGATGATTCAGAATGACAGAATTGGTGATGGAAAGTTGGATTATGAAGAGTTTCTGCGTTTTATCGGGTCAATGCTTTGAAAGAAAGCCTTCAATGATTTTTCTTGTGTTTAAATACTATTGATGCTTATAGTATGACAATAGCTTATCAATCGAAAAATTTATTAAACCCTATTTCTTTGTTTTTCAAAATCCGCAGACGAAGATGTAATCTATGAGTTAGCCCTAAAAGATACACGAAAGTAATACTGATCAAGAATTTCCTGATGACTAGTGCTTTATGCTCAGATTTTGAAAATGTTCCTAAACAATACGAAAGTCCGAGCAAATTCGTCCAGCATTTACTAGTTAATCGATAATAAACAAAAGCCAATAGCGAGTGAAGTTCAACAGTGTCCACTTGATAATAAATATCATGAATTCAGATTAAAGCTGAATTATTACGAACAGAAAAATAAATAGATATTCTGTGTGCACAGCAAAATAAGCACCAAAAGCATAGTGTGCATCATGCATATTACAAAACGGCCGTTTGATGCATTTCAGCCATATGATACACACAACTCAGAGAGTTGGTGAGTGATTTCAGGAGTGATTGCCATCTTTTGATTTTGCTGTCCTTCACTTTCATAAAATATGGATAGCAACATAGATTCTGGTGAAGTTTTTGTTTCTGTCGTCAAAAGACGACACTCCTTTTTGACTCCATCTTAAATAAATTGTCCATTATCCCACACATAAACAAGATTGTGACGACACTCAAGATCGACAAGCTCTGACTTTTACATATTCCACCCCCATACACTAGAATCGAGCAACTGTGTATTAAGTAGGTTGCCAGTTACCTGACTTCACTCTAGTTGTCAGTTAGTCGTTTGTGTTGTTGTTATCAACGGAACAGTTAGATTAGGTCAATTTCAGAAATGTTTGGCAGGATAAGGGTGTTTAATAACTTCGATTTGTACGCATATATGATTAATATCTGTGCAGATTAATTCTGAAGCATTCCCTTACGGTAAGTAGATACGAAACTGTGTCAAGTATTCCTTTACCTCAGTTTTCAGTGTTTTCATCAACCAGGAGTATATTGCATGTAAGTAGACTGATTTCTGCAAGAACAAGTCCTATGTCGTGGAAATTCGAGAGCCAGTGAAGTGATTCGCACTCATAGCATATTCAACCACAAATAACATTTCATATTTCCTACGCATTAGATGTAATTACTAGCCTGTAGTTTGAACAACAGTACGAGTTTGCCATAAGAAAAAATTAATTTTCTTTACTAGGATCTTGTTTTCAATAAGAATACTTCACCTGCTTAATGTGACAATGTAATAGTTATAAATTACGAGATAGTAAGAAACCCTTAATAATGTACGGAAGATGTGTCATTCTGAGGGTTATGTACATGGTCAAAAAGACCCACCAAAAATAAATAAAAACTGTGAGACTCTAATAATTTAGCCATGCTTCTAAAGAATGCAGCGAAATTTAATTTGGTTAAATTTTGCTGTAATTGTCGGAAGAAATATTTCTCTCACTGCAGATATCTCTTGTTAACTGTCTAAGCAGTCAACAGATGCATAGAAGACATTTCGACTCCGAAATACCATACCATCCTCTGATGATACCCTGTCATATGTAATCAATCTTCTAACTCCCACAGTTTGCTGAAACAAACGTTTTACTTTAGTCATGATGCAGTTAATTCAAAGAATCGAAGATTTTTATGTTAACAGCAGTTTAAAAACAAAGATTATTGATAAATAGAAATACATACATATATAATAGCAGCGAGCTCTTGCAACTTTTGGGTTTTAGCACTTGTTCCACGCACAACGTAGCTATGGACCTTACTTGCGGGGTTATAACTTTCATTTTCTGTTGTTTTACATTCATTTCCATATACAGTAAATTGAGTACCTAAAAAGTTAGAGCGCAGTTTGCCAGCTAAACACTTTGCACCCCGTGATAAACTGGTGACATCACACGATATCACATAGTTGCTAGTTGTTGATCGTTTACGGCGTCTAGCTGCCAACAAGAAAAACTTCCGATCTTCCCTTTCGAGATGGAGGTAATACGAAGGATACATTCTACAATCAACACCTCGTTTGTCTCGAGTTATACAACAATGCATTGTAACACCCTGCAAAGTTTAAAAATCATATAAAAAATAAGGTTATGTGATTGTTAACACCTTAGGATGAATTTTATGTCCAAAGACGAAATTTCTAGATAACATGAGAACTTTTATAGTTTCAATGAAATCGAAGGCTTCGTTTAATGGGAATAGAACTTGAAAAATAGTGGTATAGAATAATCAGGTCAACAGAAGCTTTAAACGGACAGTCTCTAAGTAAGTTTGTACGTTTGAATGTCTTCTGTTAGCCTAGTCAGACAAAATCTTACAGTTTATGCAATACCATGAATCTGAACTTAATCATACGGGTCAAAGAAGTTGATTAGTCGCTGTCACATTATCAAAATACAGAAGGTTAGCCAAATATACAATGACGATTTCAGTTATGAAAAATAATAACACCAAAACCAAAGCACTAGAAACAAGAGAAATACAGAAAGTTGATAAATGAAAAGGGATCTTTGACTACACTTTTGGAAACCTACTTAAAAGTCGTGCAATTTAGAGGTTTGATAATCTAAGAGTTGAATATGGCATATCCCACATAGATTACTGTCGACTGTCTCCATTTCATCATTGGATATGTGTTAAACCGAGTAATACAACCGACCTTATCGTACGGAATTCTACTTAAAACTGACAGCATTAATTTTCCAACATGTATTCTAAAAACGGAGGTAAGCATACTTCAACCAGTCAAAAGTGGACTTCCACTTTAGAACTTGTAAGTATTTAATAAACCATGAAGACTGATACTAAAAACACTGACTATTAGCTTATAGAATTTGGAAAAGTCGGAAATAAAGTCCAGAATCACAAAATTTAAGGGGAAGAAGTGGAACTCATGTTTGCAGACTGGTTAATTTAATATAATGAGTATTGGCTCGTTTATACTATGGAAGTCGATAAATAATACTAATACACTGATTCAAAGGAGGATACCTACAATCTAATTGCACTGCCGTTTAAATAAGTGTTTATCCGACATTGGAGTGTGATGCTAGTGTATAGCACCAAAAGAGTATCCATCTCCAAATAGAATACTATAAAACAAATTCCTATCAATAAGAAAATCCGGTAGTCAAAGTAATCTATTCGTAATAATTAAATACACTTACCTGTGGAGCAGGTTTCAGGATAAGTTCATGCAGGTCCTCAGTTGAATCGAAAGCTAAAGGCTGGGTTAATTCATGGAACTCTAAATCTTCGTGTCTCTGAATGATGTTTATTTAAAAAGAAACAAATAATCACATATTCAATATCTTCAAAGTGTATATCATCACAGCATAGTAGATAATAATGAACAGTTGACCTGTGAGTAATCAGTACATAAAAACATAAATCTCACCAACTAAATAGTCGGATTTATTTTCCCTTGTGTGGTCAATGCAGACTCCTGATTTTCATTTGTTTCTAGTTTTCGTTTCTTTCATAGGAGCACATAACTCTTTTCAAATGTGACAGTTTAGATTTCTTTTTCGTTAACATAATGTCAAGGATAACCTGTTTTGTTTGTTTTCATTTTTACCCTGAGTTAAGAAGCATAATAGTATTGGCATAATAGTAATTTTAATTAATTAAAGATGCCGATTATAAATTTCAAAGAAATTTGTAGTGACCCATTTTATTACTCATCTTTGTAGTATACATTCACTATGTAATTGGACTTTGATTTGTTTATCACTCTAAATATTCCGTGTTTCAATTGATACTTTTGTACTCGCTCAACTTTTGAATTTCGATTACTGCGATAATACACGTTCGTACTCCTTCTCAAGTGCCTTTTGATTTACATTGTGGACATTGAGTAAACACAACGTTAGGACACAATAATAATCGCGAAGAAGTACTATGATATATGTGTACGCAAGTTTGATCAAAAAGAGCACCAAAACAAATTGATCAGTGAACAAAGAATTTATTGAATTTTCTTCTCTGATCATGTAACCATTAGGTTGTTTAGACGTTCATTTTCATAGGAAAGTTGGTTCATTTGTCTATGACTAAGAATAATCAAACATCTCCAAACAGTTTCAATAAAACGCTTCTTTATACATCCTTATGTAAAACACCCCGGAAAAGATTAACGCCTTTCCATGTGAATGTACATAGACTGCTTGCTTAGTCACAGACTAATTATGGATCTCCAGATGCTGGCGAATAATTACAAATTTAAATTTGTGATTCACGTTTAACCACAAAATTGTGAAAACTATTCAAAGCATTGGGAATGCTTTCCTAACCTACCAATTATTTCATAAAGCTAAATCAATTTTACTCTGATCGAAATTGGAAAATAAACAGTGTCATGATTCAGTTGATTACAAAATTTGTTAATACTGTAGCTGCAGAACACAGTAATACTTGGGGGGGGGGGCACAATTACTTATCTGGCAAACGAGATACAATGATGGTAAAATACAGAAAGGCTACATTGAAATTTCCATTTCCAAAAGCTTTACGTGTCCTCCTTCTCTCGACTGCCTGTTGTGCTTCCTATGTTATTCCATAAACATCTTTCATTTGCCCTCTCTTCTCAATTTAATCCATCATTCTACTATTCAAGATTAATGGAGGAAACAGCACACAGTATACCATTTGTAAATTCTTATCAATAGCACACGCCATACTACTACTACTACTTTCAAGTAAATTTGGAATCAGACACAATATTCGCTGAGGATAGCAATCTAGTCATTGTAGTCGTGAACTCTTATCGACTAGCTTGATTGGATCATGGTTGCCCTGTGTCCAACTTAGCATTGTTGGCCTAATTACACTGACGTTCAATCGATTATTCCCTCTGTCTGTTAGTCTTTCAGGCTTCGCCTAGTTTACTAGCCCGTTCTAAGGTAAAGCAGAAGTGACCAAACGCGAACTGAGAACTACAGCAAAACCTAATCTGAGAAAGTCTAGCACCATATCCATTCCGCTACAGAAACAGTAGTAAAGGCTGTTAGTGACCTGGGACCAAAGGTAAGTAAATGTCAGTAGTTTCCTGTTGCATCAATTCAAAACAATAGATGCAAGAAAATTGACTCCAGATGACTTGGAATATGACAAGAGGCAAATCTGCTCAAATGCAAGCTGATTAAAATTAAAAAAGAAACAGTATTACAATTTAAATTTTCAAAAACTTTACTATTCTGAAATGTCAGAGAAAAAAGGTGCTTGAAATAATAGAAAAGATTTGTAACTCAGGTGGATGATTTGGAATTGATAGTGTTCTCTGAGCTCCTTGGTTTAATTGCGTAGCTTTCATCGTCTTTCTGGACGACATCTTCAGCGCAGTATTTAAATCATTTCATTTTATCCTAAATACTGCGCTGAAGATGTCGTCCAGAAAGACGATGAAAGCTACGCAATTAAACCAAGGAGCTCAGAGAACACTATCAATTCCAAAAAAGGTGCTTGTCCATGTTTTTACAATGAATTATCGCTAACTTTCTCTTCTGCACCATCCATCTGACTACTTGATAGGAATGCCACAGTTAGGATAGGCAACTTTCACCGAGTAGATAGAGAAAGGCACTAATAAGTAAAACCAGTTAAAACTGATTTATTTATTTTTTTATTTCTGATTACAGCTTGATTCCACACCGTATTTTTGGTACAAGTATGGAATTTTCAGCGTGGATATCGGTAGCCCAAATTTTGCAGGCCGACCATAGATATCAAGGTGTGCGTCAGCGTGGGCTCGAACCCCGGACCATGTGCATGGTCGGCGAGAGTCCTAACCACTGTGCCGCCGAGGACAGAAGTACAGAAATTGACAACCGAAGATGCTGTTGTGTACTGCTAAGAAAGTTATGAAGAGAAGAATACCTGATAGAATTCGATACAAGAAAAATCAGAAAACAACTAACTTAGTGTGAGAAGCTGAATACGAATACAGCATGAAGACGAAAACGACTGGTCTGAACAAAGTGAATATTCAATGTAAGTCTGTCACTTTCCTAATCACTACTAGAGCCACTTTCCATATTATTAATGTGGCAAAGGCTATCTCAAGCTCGACGTAGCACTGGTGCCCGACACTCCTTATATTTCTTGGCTTGAAGGAGACATTTGATTCAGTTGATAGATGGGTGTCTTATTGTAGAGCTGTGACATGTCACTCAAGAAAGCAGAAATATGAAAAACCACAGATTTAGCTGCGGATGCCTTCAAATAGTGAGTAATATTCAGGTCTTCCGTAAAAGGTTAACTGTATTGATGAGATTTTTAACCTTCGTTTATTGGATGTTCAGATTATGTATACTGACGTCTCCATGGATAAAGTTTTCGTACATCTGTTTCGCCAATTACTGCCGCTATCATTGCACATTAAAATCCTTGTATTTAACAAATTTCGAGTCGGCTTAAGGTCAAAAGGAATTGCAAGTCCTCAATACTTGCACAGAAAAGGTCATATTTTCTGTAGCGTCTATTGAAACACAAATCCCTAATATAGAAATGACCTGCCATACCGAGGGGAAAAGATACTTGAATGACGCATAATCACACTGTTATGAAGTTAATGATTATTGTCTTCATAACCTGGGACATTGTGGTGAAATACATTTGCATTTGGAATACATCACAAGTGTCTGAGGATAAAACAATTTGTGGTGGTTCCTACAACAAAAAGATATTTTACAAGTTAGCAAAATGATTTGAATAGCTATGTAAGTGGAAGTACAGTGGGAAATTTTACCTTGATATTTAAGGAATTCTGAGGTTTTGCAACATCGTATGTTTCAGAGTGATAATTTGTAGGATTTAAAACTACCATCCTGGAATTATCTTCGCACAACTCGTACGAATTTTCAGTGGTAGTTGAGACCAGTTCCATACTCATTTCTTTGTCACCACTGGAACTATTAATCCGAGACATAATCTTCGGGGAATTAATACGTAAACACGTTTCACCCCAGGAACAGTGGATAACTGTTGGAGCAAGAGATTTCTCATCATATGAAGAGGTCTTTCAATCACAGATTGAGTCCTAACTCTGGAAAACAAAATAATATTGAAGTGCAACATATAATCTACCCACTACAAACTGAAGGCTACCCAGATATTCAATTCGAGTTCTTTAAAGCCAGAAATAAAAGCCCTTACAGCTGGCCATAAATATAAGTGATGAAAGCCGAGACAATTTCAGGCATAAGTACTTTGCAGCGTTGAAGAAAACAGTCAAAACAATATTGTCCATTATACATAAGATTTTATTTCGATAAATCACACAGTGTTATAAAGTAATATACATGTATAACACTGTGTGATTTATCGAAATAAAATCTTATCTATAATGGTGTTATACTCTACCACAGTGCCAAAGTTTCATACTTATATCAATAAAACAATGTTGTCCCTATTTCGCTCAATATAAAGAAAAAAATTCCTGTCTGGCTTATCAATCGACTACCAAACTAATATCGTTAAGATGCGTCAATCATTATAATATGCCATCGACAACAACATACACTTTTGGTTAAACATGGATCAACAATTAGTTCTGACTAGTATGTTTGCTCTACAACCAAAAAATACGGTGTGGTGGATAGAATAACATACCATAATTTTAATAAAGCCTTGTAAAACAATTTCACGAAGTATGAATATGTTCATATATGGAATAATACATGATGATATGTTAAATGGGTTCATAACTAAGATAACACGTTCGGCTTAGTTCGGCCTTCTGCACATAGGTTTGGGAGAAATATACGGATGACTGTTACCTGTGAATATGGTATCAGATTTCAGAGGTAATGTTGCCTGAACTCTGCATACAGAAGAAGTCCGTTCAATCACTACACTTGCAATGGACTTGATCTATCTTATTACCCGACAAGTAATGTTGCTTAGTTCATCTACTGTTTGATTGATTCTTCAGAAAGGCAGAGTAAGTGTACCATAGTGATCTAAGAAATAATGAAAACCAGTAGGTGACAAAAGATTACTGTGTTGTCACCATTAAAACATAAAAATTATACATACATATATGGCGCAAAATCAACAATTTACCTTGATCGCTTGCGAATAACTACATACAGTACCACATCTAAGTGATTGTTCGTTGTTACACTGAACAACATTCATGTCTAATTTCCGGTCGGCTACGCAATGACACACATTGAAATCGTCACATAAACATCGTATGTGTTCCTGATCAATGAAACAAGAGGACGTATCATTCCAAGTATCCACTGGCTGCCCCTCAATTTCATTGTCACTTTCTTCTACAGGATAGGGGAATGATATAACATTAAAAATATTCGGTAAATTTATTAGGAATTAGAGTCACTGAAAGAATAACTCCTAAACTGCTGGAAACAAACATGCTGAATTACAAACAAATCAATAAAATATATGTGATTATAAGTGAAACAACAATCAGGAAGCACGAAGCTCCAATAACTTGATGCTAGATAAGGATGGCACTTCCTACAAAACACTACAAGGAGCATTTCAAATAGCTTACAGCGGTCCTATAGTTGTACACCACACAACTTAAACCTTAACACAGTGAAGCCATACACAACCAATTTTAACTGAGGTTGAATCATCTGTCTGCAATCTGAAACGAGATACATATTCAGGAACTGACGACATGATTCTATAAGTGTACAAGTGCGTCGAATTACTGACTAGATTAACTAAGTAACTAGCCAGCGTAAGTATGCCAGACCGAGTTAGTTCCGTCGAACTTGTGTTGATCGTTGATTGTTCAAGTTTATAAGAAAGAAGACAAGCCTTACTGAGATAATCCAATGAGGGTCAGCTTATCAAGGAACTCTACTCGAAAAAGTACAGCTGAGTAAGAGCAGATGGAGAGTTGTCATATAAAATGATCACTACCAGGTGTTCATCAGGGATTCATACTATCCCTATTCTGACTGAATTTAACCCTATACACTACATTGCGTAGAATATACATTCTAGTTTATGAATCACTTTGTAAAACTTGCCCAATTGATTGGGATGGTTACAAAATGATTTTGAAAGTTAAGCCTGGATTTTAGTTGTTGTTATTGTTGTTGCAAAATGGTGTAAACATTGTATTGTTTTTAGCTTCCACTTCAAGTGAAGTAAACTTGAAACAAATCGAATCCCTACAAATAAACTCTTGAAAAGCAATTATCATTATTATTATTGTTCCCTTGGGTTCCTAGTGGAACATGGGCTTCAACTGCACGTCTCCACTTTCTTCTGTCTTCTGCTGTACTTTTCACCTGCATCCATGTTAGTCCACATTGTTTCAACTCCTCTTCACACGACCACCTCGATGTCACCCTTGCACTGACGTCCCACTTGCCGCTTCCCTTTCAGCCTGGTTCCACTCGAGCAATGGCCTGACGCGCGCGTGATTTCACCCAGCGGCGGCCTCCTCAGCCAGTGTCCGATCCATCTCCACCTTCTCCTGCATATTTCTTGAGCGATTGGTTTGTTCTTGTTTTCCTTGTTCCCATAGTTTCTTGTTGGTTATTCTTTCCGGTCATCTGATCTTCATTATAGAGCAAAGACAGTTGTTGGTTGATAAAGGTCTGCAACCTTTTGGAAATATTCTTTGTGACCCGCTCGCCAAGTTTCTCATCCGTATAGAAGAGCTGACTGACTTGACGTTTGTATTGAAAATCCGACCGAATTTTGTTGTTGATGCTGACTGACGAAGATTTCCAGATTGGTTTCAGGTTGATGAATGTGTTTCTCGCCTTTCCGATTCTCGATCGATTTGACATCCTTGTCCTTTCCTCGTGTAGTTAAGACAATTCTCCCTAGATAAGTGAATGAAATAACCTCTTTCAAATTCCTCCCGTTGATGGTGATTGGCGCTGGATGTTGTTGTTGTTGATTGGCTATTTTCATAACCTCCGTCTTATCTATGTTCACCTGGAGTTCTGTCTTTGCTGATTCTTCGACCAGTTTGTCGGTTTTCGCTTGTACTCGCTTCGGTGGTACATATACTAAAATTGGAACGATACAGAGAAGATTAGCATGGCCCCTGCGCAAGGATGACACTGTGTGTCGGTGGCACAGTGGTTAGGACTCTCGCCGACCATGCACATGGTCCGACGTTCGAGCCCACGCCGACGCGCACCTGATATCTATGGTCGGCCTGCAAAATTTGGGCTACCGATATCCACGCTGAAAATTCCATACTTGTACCGAAAATAGAGTGTGAAATTAAGCCAAAATAAAAAAAATATCGTGAAGCGTTCCATATTCGATTTTGTGTGTGTTTGAAAAGCAATTAATGCTTGAGTATTCCATATAGCACAAATCGTACGTATTGAAGAGAAAACCACCCGATATTCAAATTCGCTTGAGAGACGTATTTCGAAAGCAGCATGTACACGGCTGTTCATTTACTAAAGTTGTCATCATTCATTTAACTCCCAATTGCAAATTCATCCCATTTTTTAATTAGCAGGCAGATGTACCTCAACCAGTGATAAGTTATTTTAGTTATTTTCGCAATTAAATACACGATAACCACACGGAATTTCAAAAGTTTAATGTGCACACATACGAACGCCACTTTGTGATTTTCTGTTGAGTTGTACACACGCACAGCCATATTCGTTGGATAAGTTTTAAATCTTTTTACTTGGATAATCTGGACCTTTCTTATTTTACTCAGACATACAGCTAACAAGAGCACATTTCCCTAATAACAAAGTCTTTTTAATTTGTGTTTGTCGTCCGTACTTACAGGTTAGGTAGAGTGCTGAATTATTGCATAACTTGGCGAATTACGTTAAGTAAGAGCTGGCGAAATGTAGCTTATCAACACCATTGCTAGTATCTCTACATATTCTTCGTTGTCATGAGAATTCAGTTTATAATTTTCTGGACACAATCTTCCAAAATGCTGTAACGTTATTAGTTCTATTAAAATTGTTATACACAACTTTTTAAGGTTCCCTGGTAATGGGAGATGCAAAGTTTACAAAACTAGCTAAATAGAGAGAACTCTTGCGCAGCAGACAAAAACAGAAATACGCACACCAAGTTCTTTCAATTCAAGAGCGTTCCGAGATTGCTGGAATTAATAATTTTAAAATTGATAACTGGGGAGAAATTACACGAGTACAACAACCCACATCCAGTATCCGTTCGAATTGCGAAAATAATGAGGAGTGTTACGGTAAGATTGATAATACAGTGTGGCATCAAGCTGTAATAAAAAAAACAATCATCATTAAGTTTATACTATGATTCCTCATTTAGTTTTTTATTTAAACTTAACACGACATGGACCATGTAAGGTATCAGCTACCCAGATAAACGAATTTTTCACTCACCACTACTAGTTTTATAAAGACACTGAGTGCAGCCACAGGCTCTGGCTTCTCATTTATATCAACCACCGTTTTGACATGAATAAATTCGATGGAAGAAGTTTGAGTCGTTACTCCGTGCAATAAGCACACAGTGTTGATGCTCATCATTACAGACAAAACGTTTGTCCAGTTTTACATTCATGTACAATTTAATCTGTGTTGTTGAGGCGCAGTCTGAAACACTTAATATTCTCTGTTAAAACTTGAATAATTTGAAAATGTAGGTAGAGTCAAAAAACATACTAGTATTGTAAATCTAAATTGCGCCTACAGGCAGTTGTTAAGTAAACAGAAGATATAATAAGGTTGTTAATAAACAACAGTGGAAAGATAGCGTCGAAACAAAATTATAAAGGTTCAAGGTACACTACAGAATCTAAAAGTGACACAAAAAGTTAAATTAGAAGACGAGACACATGGTAAAGGTATCTTCATTTGGAATCAGATATCTCCATATAGGAAAAATATGTACACATAACATTCAAAATATCAATTATGCAGATCTAACACGTAGTGCTAATTCTCACATACATAATTATTTCGA